CAGACCAGGTAAGGAAAGCCTATCCCAGGATGGTGAGAATACACTGTAGTAGGCAGGGGAGGAAATATTGCAGAAATAGAACTGATTGGATTGAGTGTGGGAGGTGATGGAAGAATCCATTTCATCAAGGTTTCTAACATGGGGCAATGGAAAAATGATAGTACCACTTTCAGAAATTGTCATCATAAGGAAGAACAGGTCTGGGGAGAAAGATCTGGTTTGGATACTGCTGGGGCTGAGGGGGTAGCCAGATGAAAATATTTTCTGTAGACCTAAAGAGAAATTGAGGCTAGAGAAAGACATGGGAGTCAGCTCCATACAGGGGAGAGTTGAAGCTATGGGAATGAAAGAGGTAGTCAAGGAAAAGAGAACCTTCTGAAACATCCACCTTATAACAGCCTACAATTAAATAAAGAAGATAGACAGTTTCCTTAGATAAAGACCATTTGGAGAGTAAAAGGTGAACTGGGGGAATATATTGTCCTTGAAGTCAGTAGAGAAGATAGTCAAAAGTAAAAGATGCTGGAGAGGGTTCAAGGAAGAAATACAAAGATCACTGGATATATTGATTAGGAAGTTATTGTGGATCCTTTGAGAAAGCAGTTTTCAGAACAGAAATGTTTATAGAGAAGCCAGATTTTATTATTAGCTAGAGTCTGGACACGGCGTGAACTAAATAAGATAAAATTTAATGGTCACAAATTTAAAAAAAACTTTACAAGATGGAGGAGGCATAGCAAGATGTCAATTTGTCTAAAAATCAAGATCTGGGTAGGGGAGGGGGACTTTAAAGGAAAGATTTGGAATGTTTAAGCCCAAGAAGAGATTTGAGGAAAATGATAGTTGTCTTGTATAAAGTATGAGCTTAATAAGTGTTGGCCGAGCTGAATTCCTACTGGGCAGCCAGCTTACCCATAAATACCATTGGATCTGTGATTTTAACAGAAGTTATCTTTCACTTATTGGCTAAAAGCAGAGGTTCTTAACCTTTTCTATGTCATGTACCTCTTTGGCAGTGTGATGAATGAAAATCCTGGGACACAGTTTCTGGGTAATTAATAATTTATTAGGCCAGGTAATAATCAATAAATTGATGGTCAATGGTTTCTCTCCCTAACCAAAGTCAAAGCCATGAAGAGACTGGAAGCCTTAATATACTTTTGGAAAAGGGAGGTGGCCCTTGGTGAAAATCAACCCTGATTGGTGGACATTTAAATGAGGAGGTGGGCTGAAAGTCTTTAGACCTCCTGCTAAGAAATTGGTTTGATCATGAGACTCACCTGCCTTCAGCAATCTGGACCGAGGAATCCATTTCCACCCAGACCACGCTGGTCCATTTTCTCCTTCATTAGCTGGGTTACCCTAAACTCCAATGGAGGGGTGCAAGGATAAAGGACCATTCCCTAAGGGCAACAATTTACCTAGATTAGATTTGGTTTACACTTCAAACAGAAGTCTCCTAGTTGGGTGGGGTCCTGCCAAAGATTGAGGAGTGTGTACCCCAACAATTAGGTCAGTCATTATCATTATCAAATCAGCCATGCCCTGCAGAGACTGACTAACAGACCTACAGGGGCTAGTCTCTGAATGAGGAAATAAAAAAAACTGGATCTAAGTAATCATGGGTTATTAATATAATAGAAAATAATTTCTCTGAGCAGTTTGGTGATGCCTATGGACCCCTTCTCAGAATCACATTTTTAAATGCATAAAACACATGGGATTACAAAGATCAACTGTATTGCAACAGTTATCAAATTTTAAACAAATGGAGTTCTCTGACCCTGTTCTGGAGTGGACTATTCTTTTTCAAAAATTTATTTACTTATTTTTAGTTTTCAACATTCACTTCCATAACATCTTAAGTTCCAAAATTTCTCCCCATCTCTCCCCTTCCCCTACTCCAAGATGGCATGTAATTTGATATAGGCTCTACACATGCATTCATGTTAAACCTATTTTCACATTAGTCATGTTGTAAAGAAGAATTAGAACCAATGGGAGAAACTACAAACAAGAAGAAGGAAAAAAAGAGAGAGAGCAAATAATATTTTTCGATCTGCATTCAGACTCTATAGTTCTTTTTCCAGATGTGGACAGCATTTTCCATCGTAAGTCTTTTGGAGTTGTCTTAAATCCATGAATTGCTAAGAAGAACCAACTCTATCAAAGTTAGTCATCAATGTGTCCAGTGTTTTCCTGGTTCTGCTCACTTCACTCAGCATCAGTTCGTATAAGTCCTTCCAGGTTTTTCTAAAGTCCATCTGCTCATCATTTCTTTTCTTTTTCCTTTTTTTTTTGCTTGAATATTTTTACTAGGTGAAAACCATAGACCTCTATCCAAAAACTCCTAGACTGCTCTCCCTTCCTGCTCTGAGGATCCTGGCCCTGGTCTTGAGGAAATGGTGGTGGCATCCTGGTGCATGGCCTGCTCCATGGTGGCACTCCCCCTCCTTCACTTAAGGCTAGAGTTTTCCTGCCGCTTGCTTCCAAGACATCCTCATCATTCAGCAAAAAGGGGAATGGAGGAAGAGAGAGACAGAGAAATCACTCACAGTTCAATGGGTCAAATCTGCACCCCCTAACCCCATCCACTCTCCACACTACCAAGAAAATTAGACAGGAGGGATGGACATGCTCAATACACTAGGCCATACACGTGGGTAGATACAGGAGCCATACCCAGAATTAGAGTGGGGTAGTAGAGGGGAAAGATGGCTATCTATGTTAATGACTCTTCTCTGCTAACTCCCTCAAGTAACCATGTTCATTTTCTAGTGCCTTCACTCAAAATAATCCTTGGGAGTTTGATTCTTGGTGTCAAAAGGGCCACAGCAAGAAGGCCTGTTGAACAGGATCATGATGAGAATGTACAGACCAGACAGGTAGGGGAAAGGCAACAGGGCCTGGAATGAGGTCAGTAAAAACATAAGCTGGCAGCCCTACCCTTAAGGTTATAGCAGACTCAGGGCAGCAGGCATGATGGGTGCCACTCACCAAAGCTGAATCTCTCAGATTTCAGAATGGTCTGGTTGGCCTTCTGTAGGGCCTTGAGCATGGAAGCTGCCTCATTTCAATGTTGGGCCATGTCTTCAGACTCAGTCAGCAGCTGTTCATCATTTCTTATAGTGTAATAGTATTCCATTACATTTCTATACCACAACTTGTTCAGCCATTCTCCAATTGATGGGCATCCTCTCAATTTCCAATTCTTTGCCACTACAAAAAGAGCCGCTATAAATATTATTGTACATGTGGGTCCTTTTCCCATTTGTATGATCTCTTTGGGATATAGTCCTAGAAGTGGAATTGCTGGGTCAAAGGGTATACACATTTTTATAGCCCTTTGGGCATAGCTCCAAATTGCTCTCCAGAATGGTTGGATCAGCTCACGAGTTGACTATTCTTAAGAACCTGTTTTGGAGAGTTAGTTGTTTGGAGGCACAATGATGAAATAATTTGCCCAGGATCACATAGCTAGTGCAAGAGGTGGTATTAGAGCCCAAGTGTAGATCTTACTCCAAGCCCAGCACTCTGTACACAAATAAATCTGCCACTAAAATAAAGTGGCATTAAAGTAAGACAGCACATAAATATGTGAAAATTAAATTAAACACAGCCTGTTTGGTCCCTCACAAGAAGAATGGAAATACACAGTATAGGTGCTTAAGCAGTTAGCAATAATCGTTAGCCTTAGACAGGCTAACAGGATAAACCCTAACAGTAATTTCCAGTGCCCCCTCCCCACTTTTCCTCCGAAATCACATTATTCAAGGCTCCAGTGTAAAGCGTGCGCGCGTGCGCGCACACACACACACACACACACACACACACACACACACACACACACACACACAAACTGCTTGCCAAGCATTGCAAGGCAGTGTTTTTTTCTGACATTAAAGTTCCAGAACTTTACATATAGCATGATAACAACAACGAGAGGATCTCTGAAATATGATAGCCAGCACCTAACTTCACAGGGGGCTGGAAAAGTGGCAATAAGATAGAAGGTTTAATGTTGGGCAGAAATCACGGTGAGAAGGTGGGAATAGATCACTCTCAGAGCATAGAGCAAAATGGAGTGAGGATCGGCACTGTACCCCGCCCCCCAGCCAACATTCTTCACCAAAGGGCACCTCCACGGTCCATTCCAGTTGGCTCTTAGCTAGAGAGATAAGAAAGAGAAGGTAGATTTATTGCTTTAGGAGGAAGGCAAAAAGGAAAGAGGGAAAGCAGCCGGTTAATAAAGTGGTTCAACACTGTGCAATGACCGGCTTTGATAGACTTAGCTCTTGTCAGCAACGCAAGTATCTAAGATAATTCCAAGGGACTCATGATGGAAAATGCTATTCACATCCAGAGAAAACTATGTAGTCTGAATGCAGATAGAAGCATACTTTTCACTTGTTTGTTTTTTCTTTCTCGCGGTTTTTCCCTTTTGTTCTGATTCTTCTTTCACAACATGACTAATGTGGAAATATGTCTAATATGATTTACATGTATAGCTGTAGATTGCTTGCCGTCTTGGGTAGGGAGGAGGGAAGGGAAGGAGGGAGAAAAAAATGGAACTTAAAATCTTATAAATGTGAATGTTGAAAACTATCTTTACATGTAACTGAAAAAAATTACTATTGCAGGGGTGGACAAGGGGGGAGGAATAACGTGGTTCGAGTCCTTGGCCTAGGTTTGGTGGAAGGGTGGGCTGTCACTGGTACAAGGTAAAGGGGAAGGCCCCATCCCACCCCGCCAAAAAAAAAATATCGTGGAGGGAACTCAAACCTCCAAGGTTGCAAACCTCCTGACCAAACTTTACGGAAAGAATGAAAAATGTGGCAAATAAGAGATCAGGGATTAGATTAAGAGATTAGATTACTAGAAATTAGTCACACTGTGTGATGCTGGTATTTCCATCAGCGCAACCTCTGAATATGGGTGATCGGATACGTGGTTTCGCGTAAGTTACAGAGGGCCGAACTCGCGCTCTACCTCGCACTCACCCAGAAGCAGCAGCTTGAGCTCCCTGCGCGCATCCTTCTTGTCCCTGCGCAGCTGCCGCTCAATTTCGGCACTGATGCGCTGCGACTCCTTCTCCTCCGCGGACAAGCAGCAGCAGCCGGCCATGGTTTCGCACAGCCCCCTCAGTATGGGTCACCCGGGGCGTCGGAACCAGGCTTAGGACCCACTACTGATGCTCTCCCTGAAAGTGGTTTCTCCTCCTCAGCTTTTCCAATCCCAGTCTGATCGAGGGATTAATAGACAAGGATGGGTTTAGTTGGAGGAGAAGGGAGGTCTCTTTTTCCTCTAAAACGCGTCCCAAGAGCTAACTCGCTTGAAGGGGTTTCTTTCTGGTTGACAATGCTTCCCGGGGGAGGGGGGAGGCGAGAAGGATAGTTCCTCAGCAGCACAAGCCAAGGCAGTTGCAGGGTTCCTTGAACTTAAGGGTGCCAGTGTATGCAGAGCGCGTTATCTTCTTACCTCCCGGGTTCGGATAACCTTATTCGGGTTTTTCGTTTTCGTTTTTTGTTTTTTTTTTTCCGAGGGGATCAGAGAAGGTTTGAGTTGGCTTCCTCCAAATTCGAGTGCAGCTTCTTGTTGGCGCCGGAGTAGGTGGACCTAGAGAGGGGGCTGCGTTTGGGAGGATAGGGTGCGACTCACGCGCAAAGTTGGGGTGGAGCTGCCCAGGGGCCCCGACAGCACTGGCCAGAGGCGGCGGTGGAGGAGGAGGCAGCCGCTGCAGGAGGCCCAGGAGATTCAAGCCCCAAAAGCAGAAGGGGCCGCAGGAAAGGTCCTAGGGAAAGGTTTCTGGTTCCTGCTGTTCCCGGCTTAGGAGAAGAAGGCGGAGAGTCCAGGAACACTCAGCTGCAGCTTGTGTCCTCGAGCTGGGCACCCCCGATAAATGGCGTCTGTTAGCAATGGAGTGGGTCCCACTGGGGCTGACAGGGGTGGGGGCGAGCTAACGCCTGGGTCTAAACCTTCAGCACCTGCGCTGCTGCTGGCTGTTCACTGTTGCAGGAGCGTCAGGGGAGTGGCAGCAAGCCCTGAGTGCCCGCGCTCCCTTCCTCAGCAAATCCGGGTTCCCACAGGTGAGGGAGTTTCCACAATTCCCCAACAGCTGAGAAGAAGGCTGCGGAAGGTGAACGCACGAGGAACAGAGCCAAAGTTGCTGCCCTCACTTGGGGTTGAGGCTCCTCAGACGTCTTCCGTTCCTCGGTCAATTTGCCCTAGAAGAACAGCTCTCGAGCTCCCAAATCGCTTGTGTAGATAATCAAAATGTCCCTTCTACTGCGATTTGGGAAGAGTGTTAAAAAACCCCTCGGTTATAGAGTCGCCTCTCCTGGACTCGACCCAAGTAGTTAAGTGAAGACGCGTGTAAATATCATCTCTGGATTCTTCCCACACCCACCGGATTTGAGAAAGGGCGTTCAGGGGAAAGAGGAAATGGAAGCTGATGGATAGTTTGCATATTTTAGCATAGAAAAAAAAACCCTTCTCCTAGAAGTTAGAGCATCGGAGCAACACCTGACTATTCCTTAATTCAAAGCAGTTGTTTGACACAGACCCCTTTAAGAATTTGTTTTATAGGAAGACTAGACAGAAAGTTTTGTTTTTTAGGTGCTTCTATGAATATTTATGGCTATATGTGTTTGCGTGTACATCTTTATGTGTGGGTGTAATTGTATACTGTACATCCAAGTATAATTAGTGGCTACAGATGTATGCATCTGCCTTTTAAAACTTGTATCTTCAACTAAGAAATGCAGTGTGCTATAGCAGCTTGGAAGGCCGGAAGACTTGTGTTCAAGTATTGCCTCGAGCACGTTGTTTGACTCGCTTAAGCTTTCCATGTCCCCAGGCAACTGTCCAAAGCACTAAACTATAGATGTGCTACTTAATCTTCTGAGGAGGTGGGATTTTCATACCTGGAATCACCTAAAACTGATTTTTAAAAAATCACTGGCCAAGAGCAAAAAAAAAATTGAGTATAAAAGGCAGAATGCGGTTTTTTTTGCATTGTTTTCGCCTTGCACTAGACTGAGGCATCAAGAACAGATATATCGAGAGGGGAGAGAGATGAGTAGAAAAGAAAATATGAGGAGATTGATGTCTTCAGTAACTAAATTTTCTATTACTTCAAGTCTTTGAGTCAGCATTTACACTGTAAATATTTTATGGCGGCAGACAATTAGCTGGTGGCGCCCCATTAAGAACAGGCAAATTTAAGTTTAGAAGGAGAATCATATCTTTTAATCATTGATAATTGGGCAGCATGTTCAGTGAAATGAGTTGTGTGTCTTTTTTTATAGAGCATAAAGAACTTGGCAAGGTGGAGCTATTTTGCTGCAGGGTTGTACTGTATATTTTACAGTCCAAAGAATGTAAACTGGTCATGCATTAAAAACTTATTATGTGCACGCATTCTTAAACGTTTACGGCTTATTTCTTCTCCTCTTTACCATAGCAGAAATAGGCTGGTGCTAACAGTGACCCCTACAGGCAAGTTGCCTGACTGAAACTTTAATCGAGCCTAGACTACTGGCGTGTGTTGACCAAACGTTTTCACTTTCTGCTTCATTTTGCATTTGTGCTATGGACTTTTGGAACTGTCAAATTAATAGCTGCTTTATATTCGAGAGGATTAAAAAACAAAATCCCCAGAAGAAACTTGATGTCTGCTCAGAAAACATTTAAGAGTTTTCGGCTATCTATACTATCTTCTGCCCAAAATGTAGGGAAAAAAGAAATCCAAGATAGGTGGTAGGATTTCAGTTCACTTTAACAAGCATTTATTATTTCAAAACATGTAGGTGAATTTTTGGGAAGAGCACTGGCCTGGGAAACAAGGTACCTGGGTTGTAGTGCCTTTCTCTAGAACTAACTAGTAAGCTATGTAACCAAATAGTCAATAACCGTTTATGAAATACCTACTGGGCTAAGCGCTGGTGATACAGATATTTTAAAATAAGAAAAAAACGTTCCTGCCCCCAGGGAGTTTACAATCTAAAGGGAGGAGGAGGAAAACACAAAAGGAAAACTGAAAAAGGTGGGGGGAGTGCCTGGGGAAGGTACCCCACCTAGAGTCATGGCGGGAAAGAAGCATAGCCAGGTGAGAAATGAAATGCTCAGACCTGTGCTCTTTCCTTAAATGGAGGTTTTGGAGTCCATGGGTCCACCCAACAATCAGAGGGAACTAACAAGTCAGCTAACCTCAGGGCAAGTCATTCAGTTTCTCCACCTTTAACAGCAATTAGATGAAGAGTTCTTGGGGTGGGTGATCATTTTTAAAATGTTTTGATAACTATTTCAATGTAATGGGTTTCTTTTATAATCCTAATTATTTTAATTTTATGCATTTAAAACCATTGTACTGAGAAGAGGACGATAGTCTTTACCAAGATGCCAAAGAGGTCCATGATACAATAATGGTTAAGAATCCCTGGATTATATGATAGATTTTAGAGGAAAGGATTTTGGAGATCATCTTTTCCAATATATTTATTTCAATGTATTCATCTTATAGATGAGGAAACTGAGAGGAAATTAATTAATTTTCCAAGGTTTTCACTGTACCTCCTCCTACAGATCTTTAGGTTCTCTGCCAACTGTGTTATGTTACAATTCTAGAACAATTTTTGAAAATAAGTGCAAAATTCTTTTTTTTAATTTACAAGTTTAATTCTCTTTTTTGTTTTCAACATTCTTTTTTTAATAAGATTTTGAATTCCAAATTCTTCTCCCTCCCTCCCCTCCCTCCTCCCCAAGACAGCAGGCAATCTGATATAGATTATACATGTACAATCATGTTAAACATATTCCCATATAGTCATGTTGCAAAAGAAGACACAAAACAAAAGGGAAAACACACACCAAAAAGTGAAAATAGTATGCTTTGATCTGCATTCAGACTCCATAGTTCTTTCTCTGGATGTGGGTAGTATTTTCCATCATGGGTCCTTTGGAATTGTCTTGGATTGTTGTATTGCTGAGAAGAGATAATTCTGTAATGGTTGATCATCACACAATGTTGCTGTTACTGTGTACAATGTTCTCCTGGTTCTCACTTCACTCAGCATCAGTTCACGTAAGTCTTTCCAGGTTTTTCTGAAATCTGCCTGCTCATCATTTCTTATAGCACAATAGTATTCCATTACATCCACATACCACAACTTGTTCAGCCATTCCTCAATTGATGGACATCCCCTCAGTTTTCAATTCTTTGCCACAACAAAAAGAGCTGCTATAAATATTTTTGTACATGTAGGTCCTTTCCACTTTTTTATTGTTTCTTTGGGATACAGACCTTGCAGTGGTGTTACTGGATCAAAGGTATGCACAGCTTGATTGCCCTTTGGACATAGTTCCAAATTGCTCTCCAGAATGGTTGGATCGGTTCTAAGTGCAAAATTCTTCAAAAAATGTTTGGCACACTGAAAGAAATTGGACAAAATACAACTAATTGTTAAGTACCTACTATCAACAAAGATACAGAAAAAATGTATTGTATTTTGTATTGTATCAATCATTCATTCCCTAAGAAGGCATATAGGCCTCATTGGGGAATAATATTAATACAAGTGAAATTTTTCATCATATTTATAAGAAGATATTAAAAGTAATTGTTAACAAAATTGATGCCCATCAATTGAGGAAAGGCTAAAGTGGGGTACATGAATGTGATGGAATATCATTACCATAACATAACAATGAATATGAAGAGTATAACAAAATATGGAAGGACATATATGAACTGAAGCAAAGTAAGCAGAATCAGAAAACAATGTTGCAATGATTAAAATAATGTAAATGGAAAGAAAAAATGAAATCAAATGCTGAATAATTATGACTAAGTTTGGCCCAGAAGAAGAATTGGAGAAAGTACACCTCCTTTCCTACCTTCTTTGCAAAGGTGGGATACTATTGGTGTGGAACACAGAATATATTTGCAAATGCAATTAGAGTTGGTTTTTTGGAACTGTTTTTTCTAAACCCCTCCTCTCTTTACTACAAGGGATGCTTCACTGGGCAGAAAAAGGGAAAGGGGGAATCTATTTGGTAATAGAAGTGATATAAAAGCAAAAATACATTTTGAAAAAAGTAATTTAAAAATTAAGTTGATTTCGACTTAATTCCTAAGTCTTACATATCACTCCCCTAACCTCTAGTGATTCCCACTTACTTATAGGATCAAATATTTGTCATTTAAAGCACTACACAGTTTGGCTCTACCCTACCTTTCCAGTGTTATTATACATTAATCCCCTTCCCACACTCTTCAGCCAAACTTGCCTTGCTATTCACATAATGATATTTCGTCTTTTATCTAGGTACCTTTGAACAGGCTATCCATGATGCCTAAAAAGTACTCCCTACCTTCCTCTATCTCTTAGACTCCCCAAATTTCTTTCAAAAAGCAGTTCCAATGTCCTACCTGAGGCCTTTTCTGAACCCTCTTTGCTATGTTTTGTAACTACTTCTATAGGTATATATGTTGTATCTGCTTGAAAGCAAAGGCTATTTCATTGTCCTCTTTGTATCAGCTCCTGACACAGTCCTTGGCATGTAGCAGTTGCTTTAATAAATGCTTGTTGCTTGCTCGACTGATTGATGGAAACCAAACTGAAATCCTGTATTCTCAATCTGGATTGGAGGTAACTCAAAAAACACATTTAGATCTTAGAGAGTTTGGGGTAGAAAAAGGAGGAAGAGGATGGTCTGGAGTGCCCCTGGGAGGATTACACACAGCTCTAGCCTAGCCCAATTGATATTATGGAAGGTAGATTTGTCCTGCTGTTTAGATGTGTTGCAAGGAAAGTGTGGAATGGAAAGGTTAGGGAGCACCAAACCAGATTATATATACCATGTGACAGCTAGGTGGTACAGTGAATAAATAGATCATTGGGCCTGGAGTCAGGAAGATCTGAGTTCAAATCCCACTTCAAATACTTAGCTACATGACAGCTATAAGTTACATAGTCTGTGCTTACCCAATAACAGCACCTAACTCCCAGGGTTGTTGTGAGGATGAAATGAAATAATAGTTATAGAGCACTTAGCACAGTGCCTGGCATATCACAGGTACTATATATAAATGTTAGCTATTATCTATTATATCTCTGGAAAAACCACTGGACTATCCTGCTGCAGATATTTCAGTGGAGTCTACAAGGTCGTCAAAAAAGCCCTCTTTTGGATAATGGAATAAGCTTGAATGAAACATAGAATAAATAGGAAAGTCACAGTTGAGGACCTCACCTCTTACTTTACTGAGAAA